ATAACGTTTTCCTGGCTCTGATTCTAAGTAAATATGCAGTTAGTATGATTTTTTAAATGTTTCCTAATTATTTAAAAAATAACATATAGGCAGAATATGCTAATAGGTGCAACATGTGTTCTCAAGTCAAAGACATTTATTTTAACTGGGAATCCTTTGGTCTACACTTTTAATGTGTTAAATCCGCCATGTAGTGAGTACTTTCTGCATTTCTATTGAGCTTGTCTCCGTGAGTATAAAGTGTAAATATACAAATAACATACATTAAGATACGTTAAGGGGCGACAACAAGGGCCCGACAACAAACAAAAACAACCCGATAAAAGCTAATTAATTTTTCCACATACAAATATACACAACACATGCTGAGCACACAGAATACAAGTCAATACAAATCAATATAGCAAATCAATATGGCTTACATTCAGACAGTACAAGTCCATACAGAGGCTGTTCATACGGAGAAAGACAATTTTTTTTTTTTTTTTTTTTTACAAGTGTCATTATGGAGCTCTATACCGGTAGCACATACCCCCCACCCCACCCCCCCCCACCCCCCTTCCTCCACCTCCGGTCGTGTTGTTGTGACGCGGGGCATGTCGGGAACGGATGAGCATCCAGTATGGCGACTTCCACGGGGCAAGATGGAAAGGCTGTTTGTTCCTCGAATGTGGATCTGTTACTGCACCCTGAGCTGTTGTCTCAAGACTTTATGCAGCTCATTTTAAGTGAGGTGAGTGAAAGCTCCGGGAAAATCGTGGGAAGTGTCGTTCACTGTGGAGATAAATGAAGAATACCATAATGTTAGCATGCCGGCTAAACCTGCAGCAGGTTTCTGAGCATCAGACGCTGATTAATGTTTGTCATGTCGGACAAGGTGAACTGACAGTACTTTGTGTCTGAATCAGAAAAATGTCAGTACCAGAGACTGTGGGAGTCGGGACCGGCTCACAGACCTCTACCTCCGGCATGTCATCCCGCTGCCGCAGAGGACTTTGCCCAACAGCCGCTGGGGAAGGAGGGTGGAGAAGAGCCGAGGGAGGCAGACACCGGCCGGTCACAGGTCAGACGGGTAACATATACCACAAAAGGGAGATTTCAGCATGAACATTACTGTGTATTAATTGGCAGGCAGTTAGCATTATTGTGATCTCAGCACTTCAGAGCGATACCAACACGTAAAACCAGTATATTCACAAACCATATCCCATGGTTCAGCATAAATCAGCCATTCTGGTGAGATACTGGATTATCTGTCATACCATGTTGATCCTCAGAGGCACACATATCTCTGTTGTTACTGAAAATGTGGTACTCCAGACTGTACTTGGGCCTGACCAAAAAAAAAAGCATTAAGTTTAACTAAGGATGGGCCTTATTCGTTGTGTATGCACAAATTTGCCATTTTTTTTATGGAAAGTTGGGACTGATAAAAACAAACTTGACGAGCGAATGTGTGAGACTGTAGAAACTGGTGAAACAGATGGTCCTTTTTATACTTTTTATTTTACGTCATGATTAATATATTTCCCTCATCACTCTATTCAGGCCAGCAGTGTTATATTGTGTTTGTGCTTGTTGTTAGAAACCAATTTTTCTGTCCCAACCAAAATCATAATCACTAACATCTGTGATTTATTACTGAACTGTTGGTCATAGTCTGTTCTGCAGCTGACTGCGGTGCTTCCATCAGCTGCTCGCTCATCACCACGTTCACAGTTCTAAGCAGCACAAGGCAGTGTGTCGGGGCATATAATGCCCACACTCAGTCGAGATCACTTGTGGGGCACATCAGCTCAAATGCCTTTTTAAAGGTCCTGATTCACTATCCCATCTATCTAAAAAATCAGAGACTGTATCAAATAACTTTATACAACTGGAGAACAGTGCATTGGTAGATTTTGAAATTATGTTTTAACACACATATTTCATCAAGTTCAGTGAACTCAAGGTCATGCTACCAGGGGCAAAAAGGGCAGGTAAAGCACTGGAGACGCTGCAGTGACGGCCAAACTCCGTGCGCGCCTACCCACTTCACAGTAATCCGCTGCCATCTTACCCAGGGAACAATGTGTATATTAATATTCAAGAGGGTCTCGCATTGAGGAATTATGGTTCCTTAGTAATTAGTTATAAGTTAATTGTGGAAGTTTAGTGAGTGGATTATGAGGATCATCCATGTGCACACATTTTCAAGCTGATTTATAAAGGGGAAATTGTGTGCACATAAAAGTGTGCACAGTTTTGTAAACCTGATTACTTTTTGTTGCATGCCATTTCTGTCTATTGTGTGCATGTAAAGGGTTGGTAGGGATCTTACGTGTAGTCCAGAGGTCCCTGCTAGTGTTCAGATGGCTGGAGAGTTACCAGTGTAAAGGGGAGCGATAGGCTACAAGCTCAAGATTCAAGACTCAGGAATATTTTATTGCCATTTTAACATAGCTGATAGGAATTTGGTTTGGTGAGATACCCTTACTGTCTTATAGACAGTAATACAAGCTGCAAATTATATAGGAATTGAAGATTATGGTTATGATACTTTTCAGTCTTTTAAAATGAGGGAAGAAGTTACAAAGATCCTCACAGAATCACCCATGACTCTTTATTCTGTGTCACTCTCATTAATGCCGTAATCATAAAAAAAGAAGTTGTTTTCTTTGTGAGATCGCGTCTGCTGGTTGAAGAATGCAGAATGAATGTGAAAGAGACGAGCAAAAACATGAATAAAGATGTTGGTGCTTAATTTAGACGGATTTATGTGGGTGTGCCTGCATCAACTCAAGTGATAAAAATAATGCAGAACACAGGTGTGCTGTGCTGTTGACCTGTTCCAAGCAGGTGGGCAGCAGACAGTATGAAACAGTCATTCTTGGCACTAAGACTGCAGTGTGTTACTGGTTTGGCAACTGACCCCTCCTCCCACTTTAACATGCTGCAAGTCTCCAAAATACCAAAGCGGCACAGACGTGGGAATAATCTCAGTGTGTCTCCTATTGTTGCACACCTGCATGGAAATAGAGCCTCTTACTTTCAACATGAGTTTAATCCATTTGAATGTAAAAAACTGATTATTGTTGTTATTATTGTTTGGTAATTTGTAGTTCGAGTAACGACCACAATAGGAAAAGGCCTCTGATCGTGTTTGATGGCAGTTCCTCTCATTCTGGCCCGCTCAAAGTGAGGAAACCAGAGGGAAGTAGCACAGTGTCAACAGGGATCACTGACAGGTTAAAACCTCCTCCAGCAGGAAACCTGTCCAACCCCATCCGCAAACTATCAGGCAACACCTCTTCCTCATCCATTCATCGCAGCACTGACCCCGCAAACCTCAAACGAGAAGCAAACAGCTCGGTAGGAACCTTTTCTGTCACTTCAGTTATGCGCTGTACTCAAATTTACTGCGGTATACAAGGAAAATGTGCATATTTGTCAATCTTGTCTATATAATTATTACAAGCAACACAAAACATTATGTTGCTTGTATTAATCATATTGTAATTAGAGGTTAAATCTTTTGATTCTGTGCAAAAGAGAAAACTTCCAATAGCAAATTATTATGAATCCATCATTTAATAAATCATTGATATCAATGTATTTATAATACTTGTTTCATCTTTCATCACTTCAGGTTACACCGAAGTCACCAGAGGTGAAGAAAAAGATCCAGCATGTGACATGGCCCTGACTCACAGAGACCTGATTAGAGCTCAGACTCTCGGGGACTGATCGCTCCCTTCCCATCACTGAACACCCAACTGTTGTTGCCCACTACCTTTGTTCTCCCCATCACAATTTTCACACTAATTGCATCACAGAAAGAGGTGGAAGCCGTTTTACCTGTGTGTCATGGCCACCTCCCTGCTCTCGTTCAGTTCTGGGAGCGGAGAGGATAGGACGGTGCTCTGAAGATCGCCCTGCTTTTGACGTCACAGGTCTCCTCGTAGCTTCCCACAACCTCAAGTGCCCTTACCATCAGTGATCTGCAACTCCTGAATGCCATTTAGGAAATTATGGCTGTCCGTATTATGTTTCTGTGGAGGAATTGGTTTTGGTAAAAGGGCCTCAAGTACTGGTTTGCAATGGTTTAAGGGTGAGTTTCTTGGATTGGATATGCTGGAAAAAAAAAAAAAAGAGTGAAACAGATGCTGAAGAATCTCACAGTCTGAGACCCAGACTGTCAAAGTGCTGGGCATATCCAAGAGGCATTGCGAACACGTTATGTGGCAGTGTTTAACAAATTTCTGCTTTGGTGTGTTCGCTTGAAATTTTGAACAGATGTTATGTATTATTTTTATCCTCGATTAACTTCATTCCACTGAGCTTTATTCGAACCTCAGTGCAGTTTCACGAGTTGTTCAGGGTTTTTAAATATTAGTGTAGTGTGGTAAACATTACACAGAGGAAAAATGATTTTCTTGTACAGCTGGATCATAATCCACTGCTGAGCAGCCACTCTGCCACAGACGAAGCAGGTAATTTACATTCATACATGTAAATATCACATTTTAATGATTCAGGAAAAGAAAGGAATATGGATTAAACAGAATAAAGTCTTGTTGAAGTAGATTTATTTGAAAATTGTGGATAAGTTGACTTTGCGGTTGCTGTCTTTGAAACTGACAGAGTTTAGAAACATACAGTAACAGGATTCACAAAGCATTTTGAATCCACTGTCAAATCAAGTGACATATTTGTACAAACAGTTTTTTTTTTAAATAAAATGTCCAATACAATGCATCACTTTTGTTGATTTAATTGCAGTGGAAAAGTCAGCAGCTTAGTGGCCCATGTTTGATATGTTGGTATTGTAATATATATTACATAATGTACTTTTAAAGTGAATATTGAGATTAAATGATTAAATAAAGGAAATCTAAATTCCTTTTAAGGGGTTTTGACCCAGCAATCTACAATATGTTTTAAAATTTTTATTAAATATACATTTTAAATTTGTGCATTTTTGGCTTAAAAGTTGCCAAAAGAAACATGTTGACCTCTTCATGATGTTTTTTTTTATGTATTAATATTTCTAAAATTTATGTAATTTCATGCATAGCTACAATTAGCTTTTATAGGAGTGAAGTTGCAATATGAATGTTATATTTGTCTAGTTATAGTAGAACTCATTCACAAAACTCAAACTAATTTCAGCATCAAGCTAATTCATGCACAAAGCAGTAATTATTACACGTCAAAGTCTGCATTAATAATGTAGATTTATGTCAAAATGCTTACAGTGTCTGCAAACGTGTTGCTCTTTCATAAGCAAATGTCTTTACATTCGTGCTGACAGTTATTTTTTCAGTAAAGACTTTTTCTCAAAGAATTAAAATTTAACTTAAACATTCTGAATTCAAATATCACTGTTATTAATTTGTATTTCATATCGTAAAACAATATACATTCATAGTAATGCTTGGTAGTATAGATATGCTCTGTGCTCAGATAGTATTTATTGCATGTTTCTCATTCCTTGATCATAGTTATCATCCAATCAGATGTCTCTGTCATCCCTCAGGCTGAATTACATGTCCTTGCCACACTCAGGGCACAGGATATCATCACGTTCGGTGAGGAATCCACGCCCAACCAGGGACACAGAGCACTTCTTACAGTTGAAGCAGTCATTGTGCCACTGGCGCTCCTCAAAGGAAATGTACTTGCTGCCTCCAAGGCCTGAAAGAGAAAATCAAGTGTAGGTCAAGACATCAGTGAAACGGGAGAGATCATTTTTAGATCCAGGAAGACCAATAATTAGTGGTTACCGCTAATAGGGGTAGTGCAGGAAGCGCACTTCTTGGCATAAAGGTTGCAGAAGCAGTTGAGACAATAAGCAAAGTCGTCTCTAGAGGTAAACCTCTGGCCAGACAGCTGCTGCTTGCAGCTGGTGCACAGGAAGCAGTCCTTGTGCCAGGGCTGGTCACGGTAGGTCACCCCGCCAGTGGTGATGGGCTAATAGGAGAGAATTGTCACACACAGGTGTAAGCACGGTTCTTTGAGTGAAGATGGAGATTGATTTAGTTCTACTTTGAAAATTAGTTACACTTGACTTTACGATATGAGCAATCGGGCATTTCTACCTTCTTGCAGTGCACACACTGCATGGCAAATTGCTTCTCATAGCAGGGCACACAGAAGTTATGGTTGTCCTTAGGGATGAAGCTCTTGGTGCCAATAGGCTGCTGGCATCTCTGGCAGGTAAAGCACGTCTCATGCCAGCTGTTCCCCTTGTGCTCCATCTTCCTGGAGCCTTCAGAGGAACATGGATGGATTGAGATGAAAGGATGCAAAGAGAACGGAAATAAAATGGAATTAAAGAAACCAAACATATGTTTTGGGGTCTAGAAAGAGTAAATATTTAATTATGTATTTTACATTTAGAACCACGTGTATAATTTGTGGAACTATTTTAACTATTTTAATGGTTCTTTAGTACCATCTAAAGAGATGTTAGCAATTTTCAGAATTGCTCCTTTATGGTTTGTTATTATCTATTTAGTCCTTAGAGTTCAGAATAACGTGATGCACTCATTTGAATGCATGTGATTGAATCTCAGTGTAACAGCCTTGTGGCAATTTGTTAACACAATGAGTGTGCATGCATGCTGATGTCCTTCAGTTATACCTAACTAGTATCCTCCGTGTGTTATTAACTTGTATTATTATCTATATCTCTTGGAGAAACTATAAGGTTGCTTGACCTCATCCCATTGTTTCCAACCTTGATATCTCTACCTCTGCTGTTCTTGGTGGAAAGGAAGTTCCCACTTCACTCATGTGGAGATTGTGTTATGAGTTCTATGCTCTTTTCATGATGAATTTGAAGGAAACGGGCTTTGTCATTAACTCCCTAATAACAATTAAAAATGTCCTTACATAATGCTCCAATAGACACGTCTACTATTCACACTTGCCCTAACATAATTACACGTAATCATTCTGACTCTTACTGTACATCTACTTCGGCTTTAGCTGATGCTGTCTTAGTCTATCACATTATTTCACACACAAGGGTGCAAAAAAAGAAAGAAAAAAAATCATTATAGTATTTCATTTAACCCAACTCACTTGTACTGCAATATTCTAGTGGATAAAGAATAAAGACTATTTTTTACTCAGAGATAAGGTTTTCAGAACTCAAAAGGACAATCAAACATTGAGGGACAAAGAGATTTTCTGCAAATCAGAAATTGCATTTTTGTTATCTTCTGTGTTGGTGCTAGCTCAGCTCAAACCGGTTACTCGCTTTGTGGTTTTCTTCCCACCTGGCATAATGGTTTTCTTGCAGTCATGGCACTTGGAGGAATACTCATTGGAGTAGCACTCAGTGCAGAGGAGTTGTTCATCCTTGGTGGAGAAGGGCTTGTCCACCAGCGAGCGCTTGCACTGAAAGCACTTGAAACAGTCCTCATGCCAGTGACGGTCCTTGTAGGACAGATCCTACAAGAACATCAGAGGGACAGTTAGAATAAGTCTGGTGTTCATGTTGTTTAGTTTTCACGGCAGAAACCCACAGAAAGAGCATGTTAGTCTTCATAGGTACAAACCCTGGTGTTGCAGCCAATAGGCTTCTTGCACTCCTCACAGGTGTTGGAATACAGGCTCTCATAACATTTCACACAGTAGGGATTCTCCTCTCTGAGAACATACTTCTTCCCAAACAGGGACTCCTTGCAGTAATGGCAGTCGTAGCGCTCAGTCATCTTGACCCAGGGTCACTCACCTGAGAGAGAGAGGGAAGAACAAAGATGCAGAGATAGAGAGTGAAGGGGAAAATGTCCTGTTAAACAGCATGGAGGTTGAGCAAAACTTTAACATGAAACAGCTTTATCTGGATGATTACAAAAGATTTTCCACATCCTGCTACCAAAACAATAGTATGTCTTGTAGACAGTTTTGTCTTTTCGCTACTTAGTCCAAATACATCTTTGCAGTGACACTGACACTCAGCAGAGATCAATTTCCCAGAGATTGTAAATTCCTAGTAATAAATGTTTTCCAGGACACAGTATCAGCATTCAGTATCAAGACCCTTTACGTTACAGGGTTTTTCCACGTAGCATTTTTCCCCCTTTCATCTCCCCGTCCCATCTCAGCAGTCCCTTTATTTTCTTCTTGATGTCAGAGGCAGAAGGTGACAGATGAGGAGGATATAAATAACTCCTATCAGTCCTGCTTAGAGACAGTCAACTTTTGAACTGATGCATACCAACACCCACCATGCCACCATACACTGACCCATCCATCACCTCACCTCCAGCTGTCAGCACCAGATCACAGTATCCCTTGTCATCGTCGGAGTGTGTACGTGAGTGAGTGTGTGTCCGTATAAGTAGGTTTGAATGGCACTTGTAATAATGACTACTCACAATCTGCAGCTGTTGGTGGTCTGGCTGTTAAGCCATCTGGTTATCCCACCTGTGCCTAAATACTCTTACTCTCCGTAGACCAAGGATAGTGTCGGCTATATATTTGAGTGTGTGTGTCTTTGTGAGTGATAAAGATGATGAAGAAAATGAGAAATAACAGAGAGAGAAAGGGTGCAGTTGTCCAGTCTCCCTGTGCATAAAACTTTCAATACAAGCAGGCTTTTTGTTTGCCACTCACGCACATGCTCTACTACTCATGCAACTATGTGTCCACTGATTCCTCAACACAGTTTTGACTGTATAAGGAGGCTCGGAAAGAAAAGCTGGAAGACTCAAGTTTTATTCCTACTTGTATCTTCACTCCTGTTCACTGTTTGAGTGGCTGTTTTGTTTCTTAATTTCTTGGATTTCTGGTTTTGATCGAGCTGCTCTCCTCTGTCGTTATTCCCTTTATCCGGCTGTTTTATCGTCTTTAGACTGTCTGAACGTCTTCCCCTTGATCTATTTGGGCTCACTGCGTATTCCTGCCTCAGTGGTTCAACATGAGATCTGTGAGTGATTTGTGATGTTCCTGACATTCAAAAGGTTAGAATCTTTTATCTGGTTGAAGTTGAGACGTTTAATCTGCGTGTCCTCTCTGCTCTGAGCGTTCTCAACCCCTCCCACATTCCCTCATTGTCTGTTGCTCCAGCCATGACTCACCTAGCTTACATAAGGATTTATCTGACTCCTAAAAATAAAAAAAGGATAATGTGAACTGCCACAAATAAAACCTCTAGCTATTCAGACATGCCATGCAGCTGTTTCCCAGATTCTGGGGTCTCTTTGATGCTTCCCATCTGGGAGTCTCTCTAAACTGAACTACAGTCAGTTACATGGTAAGTGTTGGACCACTGTGCAGCCTGGTGTATCCCCAGAAAGTTCTAGTGCTTAAAGACAACTTGCCTCTCTTTAAAGGTGAGAAACTGCTCAAATAATACTGTTTTTATATGACCCATCAACTTTTTGTGCATTCATTGCTTTAAAAGTTTTATTTTTACAATAATCTTAGTTGCACCGTTGCACAAATTTCTCTTAAATTCTTCATTTCAGACTTTTTAAAGATGTACAGGACTGTCTCTCAAATGTTACCCAATCATCTCAAGAAATGCAAACCACTAAGTACTCTCTCTGACAGTGAGACTACTACACAGCAATCCTCTACTCTACCAAAGCAACAGTTCTGGAGGAATTCCTCGTCAACAAAGTAAGTCAGAAAAACAGCCACGAAGAATCACCTTGTAAGCGAATAATGAAAAGAAATGATAAATCAATTTAGGTTCTAAATTTAAAATGTTCAGTTACAGTTTGCACTTTAAATAAAGCTGCACATAAAAAACTTTACACCCTACTATATGTACATATATTTACAGGAACCTCTCAAATCCCTATTGTACTCACTGTTACCACAAGATATATTTATGCTGAATTTCATCACAACAAAATGCTGTGCAGTGCATGAACAAAAGCAAAAGAATAGACCAGTTTACCAAAATAGAAGTCACTACTATGTAATATATTACCTAGTAAGGAGCTGACACCTTCATCAACACAGTGTTGCTGAAGGGAAGTGTGAGGTTGATGAGGAGAGAAGAAAGAAGAGTTGGAAGGTGGAAATTAACTCTGCTAACAGGGGTCAACAAGGGCTGTGCATTTTTTTCTTTTGGACAAAAATAGATAGTAAAATGATTTAATGAAATAGGAAGTCAGACTGTCAGATCAGGACAGAACATGAGAAGGGGTGGTGGTGGTTAAATAGTGAGGATACTGTGCAGGTGGAAAGAGGGAGAACATGAGCAGGTGGGTGGGGAGGCAGATAGGAGGATGCCAGAGCACAGTGAGCAGCTGTGGCCCAGGGAATGGAAGACATGGTGAATGAAGACCAGCGAAAAGGATGGATAGGTGGAGAGATGGATGAGTGAATGGATGGATAGTGGAGCAGCTGAACAGAGTTGGGTCTTACCTTCCTGTCTGAGGAGTGTGTGCCTGTGCAGAGTCTGTGGCAGACTGAGAGAGGAGGCTCTGGCTCAGCAGTAGTAACTCCTGATTGCATTACTCCACCCATCAGGGGCTAATTGAAAATGGGGGAGGGGCAATGCGTGGGGGGGCGGGGGATTTTTTTTTGGGGGGGGGGGTACCAAGAGGGCAGGCAATCTTTTTTGAGATGATCTAAAAATACAGCGGTGCTTCACAGAGATAACCCCGAGGCCCCCTTTCACTCATTCAGTCACCAGTGAGACTATGTGGTCTTTTAAGGTCACTCAGTTGTTGTTCATTCGCTCACTCACATACAGGATCTCACAAGCTTGCTTAAATTACACTTTTTATTTCCAATTTGTTTCTCCCCACAACAGATATGCCATATCATCCCTCCCCATCCTGCTTCCTGCAGAAAAAAAAAACAAGTCAATCTTCTCAACTGTTGTTTTTGTTTCATCGAGTATCTGTGGTTATCATTATCACAATACAGAACACACACATACACAAACACACATTCGCTCTGTTACATAATGCCTTAATATTCCTATGGCCTCTGATGCGTGATGGAAAGGATGCCATGGGTCAAATGTCAAAGACTGTTGTCCTGTGAGATTTGTCCCTACTCATGTGTCTCATCTGTCTCTACCTCCCTATATTCCTCCTCACAGGGGAAAATGCATTCATTCCCAAACGTCCAACGTGTTGAATACAGTATCCGCGCCTGGTAATGACAGACACCCACATGGTTTCTAAGAAAATTTTAGCACTATTTTCCGCAACCCCACTCTCTCTTGTTCACACTGCTACACCCCCTCCATCATTTCCAATGCTCTTCTCAATTCTTTCTTTCCTCATCTCACCTCTCTCTCTCTCTCTCTCTCTCTCTCTCTCTCTCTCTCTCTCTTTCTCTGAAACAGGTTTTCCTGACCCGGTGGTCTCTCCAGTGAAAAAATACGTCAGCAGTTTTCCACTAAGATTAAAGTGCTCTATTTGTGGCGAGCCATAAAGAGTTTAGCGCTTTGTGTGTCAGTTTGTGTGTATGTATCTCTGTGTATGCATGTTTTCGTGTTTATATCGGTATATGCAAAGGTTGTTTTTTTTGCCATGCTAGCAACATGGATACCGGTTGGTCTACTGCTTTGGTACAGACTAAAATATCTCAACAATTATTTACTGGATTGCCATGAAATTTTTTTACAATTTTTTTTTTAATGTATTTTGGTTTTGAGTGAAGTGTCTAAACATCTTTTGGCTAGATTGTCTTGAAACATGATGCAGATTTTCATGCCTCCCTTAGAATGAGTTGAAATGATTTTGCACAAGTGAAAATTTTAATTTGTCCAGTACTTTACTTCATGACTAGATACCTGCAAAAGTAGTGAGACAGCTGCGTGACTGAGACTCAGCTGCACTGTGTGTTTAGCGCTAACAAGCGAATGTTAGCATGGTGAACATGGTATTACATCTGCTAAACATCAGGATGTATGTATTCTAACTTTAGCATTTAACTCAAATCACCACTGTGTTTACATACACGCTCACAGAGCTGTAGACTGATTAGCTGTTGCAAGGATGAGTAGTTAGCAGTTTTCATTTTTTTTAAAAACAATGTTTTTCTTTCACTTAGTCTCACTCAGCCATTTCAGGTAATCTGATTAATCTTTTATTTCAGTATTTGGCCTGTGGCTCTGCAGCCACAGGCCAAATACTGGACAGGCCTTTGTAGTTTTTACCAACTGAAATTAAAATATAATCACCAGGAAGTGTTCAATTTCTGTTAAACTGTGAGCAATAGCTTAGCAATGTTTTCATGAACGCTACTCTAAACAGGTTTGACATGGGCAGCTGGGAAAAACAGGAAGCTCTGTCACTTGGACATGGGGGAAATTGAAGTCAGATGACAGTTCGCCAGACTGAAGACAGAAGATGTACCAGTTCAGAGGACGTGACTGGGAATAGATTTGATTTGATTACCCTGTCTTTAACAAACTAGTTATCTTTTCCTTCATGTGTCTAATGTGCTTTTAGTAAAAATGTAGAAATTTTCCCCATGGAACTCAAGCACATATATAAATCACATGTTCACCAACCACCCCCTATATTGCCAATGTATACTTTAACCACTTTACAGTAGTACTCTAGTATTTAACACAGGCATTTTCAGTTAACTCAGTTCACTTAATTTCAGACATGTGGTCTAATTTAAACCTCACAGGACAAATCTGTTTCATGACCAATTGAAACATTGCCCAGGACTGGTCGAGCATGCCCTCAGTCCTTGCTCCCCTGCCCCCAGCCTTTGCTTCTTCTGGGCCTTCAGCTGGCACACAGTCATCCCTCCCCCACACTGTACCCTCTGGATCGAGGTCTCCAACTCAGCTGCTAAGGCCAGCGGATAAAGGTGCAGCTGTCTGGGCACTGCAAGGCTATCGTGATGCTAAAGCCTAGTGCTTACTTCTGTTGCAAATGGAAAGGTCAAGCCAGGCAGACCCCATCATCACTAGTGGACCGTTAATCATTAATGCCACAGGAACCAATTGGACTGGAATTTCTCTGGGTCATCCAAGATCCAATACGATCCTCTGGAAGAACTTCACTGACTGCCTGTCAAACTGGTTGAAATGGATCCCAGTGACTGATTTTAAAGAACGTGCAATGTCATAATTAAGGTCTCAAATGGGCAATCAGAACCGATGAAGAGGGAAAGAATCATTTTGGGCTCCCACTGTGGGAATTGGGCATACTTACAGCTTAGCAAGTGTAGAGCAGGAGTCTCCTGGCTCAAGCTGCCATATATCCTCAATTTGATGTTTAATACTCAAGCATTAAACATAGTGCACATGACTAGATTACCTGCATAAAAGGAAATTAATTAGATGATGAGATCATTATACAAACCTTTCATGCTTCTGGAAATAAGGCTACAGCTAGCAGCTTAGCATAAAGAAGGGGGAAACCGCGAGCCTGGCTCTATCCAAAGAGAGATATTTGGAGAGACTTCAGGAAGCTGCTCCCGACGCGTCTTATTGTTTTTCCAACTTTCCAGCTCAGATTAAACTGTCCACTTCGGAAGTAGGCATGTTTAAATCTAAACTGGGATGGAAAAAAATACAAGCAACCAGGAAGTAGTTCCCCCAGTAAAACTGCATTGTGTCATTTTTGGATTTCATTTTTTCTCCAGATAAAACAAAGACAATTTTACATGTTATTTAGTGAGCTTTAGAGGCAGATTTGTTACCTTTGGATTGAGCCAGGTTAGCTGTTTCCACTCGCTTCCATTCTTGGCTGCTAGTCATAGCCTTATATTTAATGCAACCTTTCATCTAACTCTTTGCCAGAAATGTTGTTGTTATTGCTTAATAAGATACATTCTGTTATGCATCTGAGGTACTTAATCCGCATCATCTGTGCAGGGAGGTAATTCTGTCCAAAAAAAAAAATGCTATCATTTTAGGGTAATACTATCTTCTGTTATTACTAGTACCGGATATAATTTAAAGTTATAGTAATGTGGTCAGTGGTATTATTTTCTGGAGCAATCCACTTCTCCTGCCAAAAGGACAGTGCTATCGCTAATAAACTCAATGAATCAAATTACGCTGAATTTGGAAGAGGTAATAGTGCCTTTTCATAGCGCCCTGAGCTCCTTGTGAATGTCCTGAGACCTGGGTGAGACTGCAAAAGTATCTAGGAAAGGACAGGACTTATCTTTTCCCTTTGCCATTACAGACTACAATCCTTTCATTCCAAACTCAGGATTTTGTGTACAGTTACTGCCTGCCGCCTGCAGCATGTGGATCTTTATGGTTTACTGTAGCTGCTCTCACAAGTAAACTGAGATTTAATTTAAAGCTAAATATCTGTTGTGTCAGCTGGCAATGTAATGACGCATGTGTAACTTAAATAATGCCCATAAGAAATCATGAAGCCAGACCGAGATGAGTGGGATTACTTTGCATGATATCTGGCCATTTGCAAAGTTGTTTATTGTGTTAACTTGCCTGAAGATAGTTTAGATCCATTAGCTGAGATCCAGTAGTGGAAGAGGGAGCATCCGCGGACACGGCAAGAGGAAAAAAACAAACCTTTTAAAATAAAAATTAAAAGTAATTCAACTCCTGCAATGGCCAAAAATAGTTTTAATAGTTCTCAGGCTTTTCCTTCCCAAATTAACTAAACTGTCTCTGGTTAGTGTGGTGGCTTTGTCACCTGATGTTGAATGTATGACGATGATTAAAAGCCTCCTGTACTCATTTTCACTCTTTCTTCGCTTGCTGCCATCGCACTGATGTGGGTCTATATATGACACAGCAAAGCCTCAGTCATTTAGCCTGGTGTTGTGTTCCAAGACTGCTAAATCCCTGAGGAGATTGGTGGGATGTTTCAACCCCAGCAGTCACTGGACACTTTATTTAGATGCTGAAGTTCCTCTTTTCTTTGCGTTCTTTTTGCCCGTGCAAACTCTTCATGCAGTCACACAGACAGTCAGCCTGACACCAATACATACAAAATTACAATGACCTGCTTTCCTCATCTGGATGTTAGTGTGACATTTGAAAGCATATGACACAGGTTTGACACAGGCTTTTAGAGGTTCTACAATTAATATGGAGAGCCTCGAAAAGTAGAGCAGAGAGAATCCTTGTGACAGCATTAATATTTTAATGTGGGAAATTCATTTCCCAACTTGGATCTGACATTGTGTTACTCTCTTCCTGCAGAAAAGCTCTCATTTGTACTCATCAGTGAGGTAAGGTGATTTACAGTAAAATACTTTTCTAGCAATGTATTTTGTGAACTGGGAGGGAGTACGTAGACATTTTGGAGATTTGTTGCGCTTCCTCCTAAAAATTGATTACCATCTCCTCCTCTGCTGATGATAGGCTACCTGAGTATAAAATCCAGCTCTTTTAAAAGAGTTCCAGTGAAAAGCCCCAGTCTTAATAACTATGTTGTTCATCTCGTGTTCTCATTTACTAAGTGGGTAAAAGACTGTTGCAGTCTCATCTGACCTCA